TCTGCCAGGTAAGCACTCGCACATAGAATGCAAGCAGTAGGCAGGCTCGTCAATGATGCCAGGTTCTCGCCATGAATGGTGACCGTTTGCCGCCGCCACCCTGGTCAGAGCAGAAGTATCCAACTCTGCCTCAGGTGCCAAAGTTTGCACCGGTAGATTCTTGGGTCGCTTTCGAAAATGCGGCAGCCGAGACGACGGCAAGGATCCGCTCTGGCCTGAGCCTGCCCTCCTCACCTGATGCCAAAGGCGGGAACTCACGGGCACGTCGCCGCTACGGCAGCGAGCCGCCCCCGTCGCCTGGCATGCGCTGGCCCGGCTCCTCACCACGAGCCCGACTCTGGCGCCTGCCGCCTGTGATCCAGCAGGTGGGGGAGCTGTCGTCTCGCCTCGCGGGCTTGGAGCTCCCGCAGCCACCTCTACCGCCGGTGGCTGGCGAGTTACGGCTGCGCCTGGAGGCTTTGGAGCAGCTGCACCGAGAGAGCCGGGAGCAGAAGACCTCGAGCCTCTCACTGGAGCTCGAGAAGACTCGGAGTGCCTACTTGGTGCTCCAGGCAGAGCTCGAGCAGAAGTCCGAGCAGCAGAGTCTCCTCGAGAGGGAAGTCGCTGACCTAAGGCTGGAGGTCGATAGATTGGGGGAGCCCTAATCCCACATCCCCCCCTGTATAGTCCCCTTATGGTAGCCCTTGCCTAAACCCAAAAACCCTAAACCCTAAACCATGCCCTGAGGCTGGAGATCGATAGGGTGGGTCAGGACAAGGAGGCTCTGCAGCAGGCCTTGGAACTTCTGGAAGAGTCGAAATCCCAAGCGCTTCAAGAGCGGGGCCACTTGGAGGAGGAGTGCCGTCGCCTCTCGGAAGCTTTGAAAGCATCCGAGAGAAAAGAGCGGCAGCTCGAGAGATCCAAATCTCAGAGCAACTAGGTTCCTGAGTAGTATAACCCTTTTGCCCTATTTGTTTTTGTATTATTAAAGCCAAACAGTAAAATGAAAAGGGCACCCTTATTATAATCGGGCTACTCCGGAGCCTAGGTAAGGAGCTCTTAGAGCAGAAGGAGCGGCAGCTGAAGCAGCTGCAAGCAGACGGTCGAAGTCTGAAGGCCGCTGTTTCAGAGAGGGAAAGGGCGGAACAGGCGGGCCGGGAGGCCCAGAACCATCAAACGAAGGTGCTGGCGCAAAAGCAGCGGGAGGTCGACCAGCTCACCGAGGAGAACCGACTCCTGCGCGTGGAGTTGGAGAACTTCGAGGAAGAGCGGTCCAGAGTGGTGGTGCTGGAGCGAAGCACCCGTCAGTCACAGGAGGAACTCAGACAATCGCAAGAAGAGCTGAGACAGTCGGAGGAGCACCGCCAGGCGGCCCTGATCCAAAGTCAATTCCTCCCTCAAGCCCAAAGGCTTGTACAAGCCTCATGCGGCGGGCGCCCTTCTTTGATTGTTCAGGGGTCTCCAATAGTCTTCTTCGGATTCATCCGGGAAACAATACTATGGTACTAAACTCCGCCTATAGGTGCTCCCTGTCCATCCCTGTCCGGTAACAGACGTGCAGTTGTCACTGTTATGTTTATGCCTCTGTCGTCGGGCAGGAGCAGCTAAGAAGCAGCTAGTACAGTAGTGGGTAGTTGTTCGAATTTAGTTTACATGATTCCGCTTACTCACCAGTATTCCTCTGACTGTAATTGTTCCTACGGATTACTACGGTTACGAATACCATTTCATACCATTCCTGTGCCAGTTTCTATTCCTATCCCCTGCACTACCGTCAGCGCCACGAAGTGGCATCGGCAGAAGCAGTAGTAGCAGGAGGGGAGCAGCAGTAGCAGTAGCATGGGTAGCAGGACGAGGAGCAGCAGGAGGAGGAGGAGGAGGAGAATTGTTAGTAGTAGAATATTGGTTGTTTTAGCATTGCAATTGATGTTCTAAGTGCATTTGCGTTTGTATTCAGTGTACATGTATTTAGCACCTGTGTTTAGTACAGTACATGTCCTGGTGGTGGTCTTGTTTTTGTTTCTGCTTTGGTTGTGTTGTGGTGGTGCTGGCGGCCGTAGCGGGGGCGGCCGGAGCATCGCCGGTGGCGGTGGTGGTGGTGGTGGTGGTGGTGGTGGTGGTGGTGGTGGTGGTGGTGGTGGTGGTGGTGGTGGTGGTGGTGGTGGTGGTGGTGGTGGATATGGTTTGCAACTGTCACAGTCGCCTCTTTCTCCCTGGCCAGGTGCTGCGCCGAAACGTTGAGGAGTTAAAACGCCAGCACGCCGCACAGCTTGAGAAGCAGCGCTTGCTTGAACGTGACTTTGCACATCTCAGAGCTGCCCTTAAGCAGCGCGAGCTTGGGTCCGGGTTTGAGAAAGCTTTGATTGTGTTATTTTCCGCACGTGCTTCAGACTTCGCTTTGGGAAACCTCTCGCGTGGAAAGTCGAGGAACAGGCAGGGAGAAGTCTCCAGACGGCGCTCACTGAGCAGCAGCGGCTGGTGCGGGTAGCCACCGCGGAGGAAGCGCGATTCCAGGCCGCGTCTGACGATGCCTCGGAGCCCTTTGGATGGTCTTGCAAGTAATAGTGAGTGTCATCTTCGGGTTCGAAGTTCTGGCGCAGTGTCTAGGCCCTCTACCCATGAACAGATGCTCATAGGGAAGAAGCAAAGTCAACAGAGTGTTCTAACATGTTCTGACGACCGAAAGGCATTGCTGAAAGAGGTCGCTCAGGTAAGTAAGTCCAGCAGTCGAGGGCAAGTGCCAAATGTAAGACAAACAGCCTCAAGTTGGACACTATAGGGGCCTCAATGATTTTCAATTCGAGCAGTGTATCAAATGATTGTCATAGGGTTCCGGAGTACATTTTTCAAATTAGTTACTAGAGTCTTTTCAATCGGAACCGTCAGGAAATGATATTCGTAATAATTGCACGGTTACGCATGGAAGCTTGAGGGTGTCTTCTTACCGCCGACATGCAGCACCTAAAACCGAAAATCGCCTTTAACCGAAACTCTTCTTGTCAATGGGTTTGCTCGTCTCCGCAAGAGGTCGACTCTAGTGCGGAGCAGGAAGGGGCCTTAATAATTAGAACAGGGTCTTGGGGCATGGTACCGTTTCATCATATCAAGGAACCTCACGGAGTACTAATTATATAGGTGATGATACAGGTGCCTACTGAATTGAGGGGCCCTTGGCTGCCAGACGCTTCCTGCAGCCCAGGCTGTATGAACCTTTGGGGCCTGTGGGGTCTTTGCCGTCGCTGCCTCGTGCGCCGGTTTCCTTTGGCGCTGGCTTCGTGGAGGCTGATATGACAAGCCGCAGAACCAGCAAAGCTTCCTCGGTGCCGCTTGGACGGCCCAAAAAACACAATCAATGACGAGATTCAGACATGACACTCGCACACACGCGCACACACACACACAGACAATGCTGCTCTTAACGTCGGAAATCGTCGGGTGCACATTCTCATGTGCATACGGGCATTGGCGAACTCTGCAAACTACTGCTGTGCGATGATGTGCGATGCTCAGGTTGGAGGTTGACATGACGGGCGACACCTGAGCTGCTGCGGTCGAATGAAAGGGTCAAAGTAACCCTGATCTAACGCAAACTTAGGCGTTGTGGTTTATACTTCTGTCGTGGCGTGCACGTATGCACATATGTACCTATGCACGTATGTACGTATGTATGTATGTATGTCAACAAGTGAGTAAGAAAGTTTTTGTGTCTACGTCTATGTATATGTACGTGTGTATGTGCCTGTATGTTTAGGCATATACAGACAAAAGTGTGTAGATATGTGTATGTGTACGTATACGTACCATACATATACACATCTATCTAGAAAGAGAGAGGGTGTAGGGTTTTCGGCACAAGAGCTTGGATGCAGGGGTTATGGTTGAGATGCCCCAAGCTCCAGTTCCAGAATCTGTGAGGAGTTCGACCCCTAAAGCTTTCCGAAACCCTATTATCCAGAAAGAAATTGGCCAAAGCCGGCGCCCGCCCTGCTTCTGAAACCTGGGGGTCCGGAAGGTTTGAGAAGTCTCGCTAAAGAATTGAAGGTTTAGGGCCTGAGTGAAATTTGTATTTGGAAGGCTCATTGGACCCCTCCGTTTGAGAAACTGACATGTGCTCACGGCCGCAAATTGCTAATGCCGAGCTTTGCGAGACACAAAGGAAGGCGTGGGTGTGGAAGGCATTCATGCTTGGAGGTTCATGGATAGTTATAAGTGGGGTTATAAATCCCCAAATATGGGTTATAATTATAGTAATTATAGGTACCCTACTTATGACCCCACTTATAACTACCCATGAACCTCCAAGTGGGGTCCAGGGTCCCTCCACCACGAAGCCTGGATCCCATCAAACGAGAGGCCCCTAGCCCGAGCTCCGTCAAGATTAAGTCGCAGAGTCTCCAGGCAAAACGGCCCAGAGCTCGTAAAGCATTGAGTATATCAACGCCCAAAGCCCTGGAGCCTTCAATCTAACAGCCGAAAACCTGCAAGCCTTCAATAATCGACCCTGCAAGGCTAGTTGCGGTTCAGTTCAGCTTAGCCAGCAAGCGGTTGCAGAGTTCAGGGTTGATACTTGTAGCACTCAGGGGTCCTAAAGGTGTAGAGAAGTGACTTGCAGAGGTCTGTCTTGCTACCGACCGAGGATTGAAACCTGGCTATGGCTTGGTGTTTATGCGGGGTTCCCAACATTGCATAGCGACATTTTGCCGGGTTTGAGGTTGAGGTTGCATCGCAGATTGGTAGCACTATATGGGCGCATCAAGGTTCAGGACTTTGCAGTGGCTAGGAGGTTGTTGTCGCCTTTCAGCCTGAAGCGCCGGGCCTTCCGCCTTCCCTCTGACCAGCATTGGCTGCCGCTGGCCGCTTCTCCAAGCGCCGGGACCATGCGACCAGAGGATGCATCTGCGGAGCTAAAAGCCTCCATTTGCCCCGGCTCAACCTGACAGTCATCGCTTGATTCTTGTTCCGGGTACTGATGCCGCAAGGCCCCAAGATGGTGATGCGGGAAGCATCTCCTGCATCGGCTTTCCACACTTTTTTAACAGTCCTTGTTCTGATGCTGCTTCGCGGAGCTCTGCTGAGTCTGTTCAGTGGGACGGTATGCACCACGTACAACCCGAGCGTTTTCGGTACCTCTGCCTAGCTGGACGATGAGCAGGCTCAAAAAGACGAGCAACATCGTCCTTAAGTCCCTGAAGTTGTACGTGCCTGCCTCGAGTGAGTGTGCGAGTCGAAAGTTTGACCCTGCATCGTAGGTTCGTCCTACTTGTAGCCAGGTGTTCTGTTATGCAAAGAACCGGCGCAGTACGCGCTCGAGTACACGACCGGGCTTCCTTGCATGCGGTGATTGGAGCCGTTGCCTTCGCCTCAGTCGAGGTAGCATCTGGAAGGCCAGATCCGGGAATCCCCTAGTCGACAAGCAATATAGGGGTTTAAAAACACGAATAGGGTTTGGGAGTATGTTATAATATGTTATAATATGACATCATTAAGGACCCTTCCAAACTAGTAATAGTAAGTTGTAAGGCCCTGTAGTATGAGCGTACTCTGGAGATCTCTAGAGTCTCTCTGTAGAGCATAGCCGATCGCCAGAACAATATGTATTGTGTATAATATGTTGCAGTCGCATCGTTCTATATATTAAATATTACTTTTCGCTGCATCCTTGCAGCTACCGCCCTCGGACTGCACTCGCCATGGCGGATCGCCGGCCGAACAGGCCGCCGGTGCAACTCGGCAATGCTCAATTTCCTTCGTCGCTCATGTCCACTAGCGTTTTACGATACTGAAAACCTTTTGTTCTCAAATAGCACCTGTCAGAATACGTCCATGCCAATCGGACTCAGAAAAATTATGCTCAAGCATGCACATGTACTTTGCAACACTTAGAAGATCATCGTTTTGGTCGGTGCGATGCGCGATTGTCATGCCTGCAATTGAAGTTGACAAAGACAGCTTCGGTGGTGCACTGCATTTCTTGGGGCAGCCTTGCCCGGCCTGAGGAAATTTCGGGAAGGTTGCATGATTTTTGGCAACACGACGCTTGGCCGCGGCCTCAGCAAGCAGCGCTGGCTCAGGGATCCAGCGAAGCCGAGGACTTCATAAATCCCTAAACCTTAAACTAAACTGCTGGATAGAGGTACCGAAGGGCTTGTGGTGCTTCAGCTGACGGTTCGGGGCAGCGGAATGGTCCTTGAATTCAGTCTTCGCACAAGCTGGAGTGGTGATCTTGGAGGGAGGCCCTTTTCTCAGTGTGGGAAGCAAAGATGTGTGTTTGCGTCTCTTTCCTGGAGGTCCTCCTAAGGTGCTACAAAAACCTCTGTGTTTACTTGTATGCGCAATGGCTGCACAGGTATTCAGAAGCACAGTGCAATGGCAACAGCAACGCATACTGAGAATAGCAACGGTGAAGCCACTGCAATCACATGCATATACATGCACGCGTTATTGACAACGCCCGAGTGCATGTAGATCAGCAAGAACTGTGCTGCTGGCAATACGCATTGCGGCAACTCGTAGCTCAAGAACCCTAGAAGGCCCCAATGCAAACTACCGAAAGCACCTGCGTGGCCCGGGCCGTGACCTCTGGCTATGTTGTCTTTCGGGGTTCCTCCCGAACCCTGGTCTCCTTGGCCTGGGACTCTAGGCTTAAACCGCGTTACTGTAGTGGTATTGTTGATTTCTTGGTCTGGGCGTTGCGAGACCTGTCGTTGTGAAGCCTTGCCTGGCTGGCATGTGTGAGTCGAAACCCCATGACCCCCCAAACCCCGGACCCTAAGCCGAGAGCCCAGGAACGAGTGATGGCATGGCGAGAGGTAGCTTAGAGAGGCAGCGAGAGAGATAGAGAGAGAGAGAGAAGTCCGCACGGGGGGATGGCCCAGGACGCTGGCCTGAACCCCAAGCCCGGTAGAGAGAGAGAGAGAGAGAGAGTACCCTCATGCGGCCGGGGGGCCTAACCAGCCCTCCAAGCCCTGCGGAAGAAGAGTAAGTCACAAGCTGAAAGGACCCATACCCCGGCCATACCCCTCAGCAAACAAGCAAGTAAGTCACAAGCAAGTAAGTCACAAGGCTGGATCGTGCATGTGTCAACGGATCATCGACGAACCCAGACGTTTCATAGGCCAATATATACTACTGTACAATCTGGGGGAATCGATGTTTTTTCACGCCCTACCGAAAGCCCCATAACACATGGGGGGCCCATGAGGCCGGGGGGCTTGAAACGCCTCCTATGCCCTGCAGAAGAAGAAGAGACTTCAGAAGAGAGTAAGTTGTAGCCTGTTGACACAGGTAATTGCAGTAGAGAGAGAGAGAGAGAGAGAGAGAGAGAGAGAGAGAGAGAGAGAGAGAGAGAGAGAGAGAGAGAGAGAGAGAGAGAGAGAGAGAGAGAGAGAGAGCGAGACAGACCTTGGACGTCGCGCGCCGCGAGGGGGTAGGCCTTCGGGCCAAGAAGTTGCGCGCAACGCCTACACCCCTAAGCAAGCAAGCAAGCAAGAGCGAGACAGAGACAGCGTGCTAGACCTGGACCCAGGGCAAGCAAGAGAGACAGAGGGCAGGGGGGCGCTCGCGAGCGCCCTAGAAGTGGAGCAAGCAAGCGAGGGAGAGAATCCCAAGAACCCAAAATCCCGAACAAAAAATCCTGACCCGAACAGGCCGCCCGCAGAGTCCAAACAGCAAAAATTGCCTGCCTTGTGCGACTTGTGAGAGTCGAAACAGCAAAGATTCCTCACCTGGATTGCAGCTAGGCCACAGCTCGGTCAAGTTCAGACCTCGGCGAAGGCAACAGGCCGCTGCACAGTGGGCAGGGACGGCATTTAGTGGGTTGTGCATCGGTGTCTGGAGGATTCTTTCGGGTTCGGGATTTAGGGTTTCGGGGCAAGTCCAGGGTAGTGCCGGAGGATTCGGGCTCTTGCTTGGAAACATGTTGAGGGTTTGAGGAGTGGTGGTTTAGGTCTCGTCAACGAGCCAAATTGCACGTCTGTTTTTTTGGCAAGCGGAGCTCAGGCTCCGACTCCGTGTTTCCCGAACAGTCGGGTTTGACGTTCTTGGGCCTGTGATTCACCGTTCTTGCAACTCAGAGACACCAGAACTGCAAAACAGAAGAGGCTTCTAGTGGCCAGAAGAGTTTGGGCGGAGGGTGATATCTGTGAAAATACGGAGAGGCCGAATCCAAGCCGTTTGCGACGCTCTTTCTCAAGTGCTCTCCCAAGTAGAGGCATTGCCACGAACAGCCGGCACCATCATCGGTGCGGGCAGAGTGCTGCATAACGCTCAGCTTCCGTCGTCTTGTCTTTACTTCAACTTTCGGAGGCTGTTGGCTGCCAGTAAACCTCAACCTCATCGCATTTCTGGGCCATGCAAGCGGTCATGCGGCAATGGCGGGTGGAAGAGCTGCTGCCCTGTTGGTGTTCTTTGTCGTCGGCCACAGGGCAGAAGGCGTGGAGGTGCGCAGTGCCTTTGGTGCCGGTTGCAAGATTTGAGGAAGGATAAAGCAGCCTGTAAGGCCATCGAACATGCTCTGCGCCTTCCCGTCTTTCCGTTAACATGTGCAGGTGGAATATCAATCCGACCCCCTGCCTACCAGGAGCCATGCGTGTCCATGCGAAAGGCCCAGGCTGCGCGGGTCCTCCAGGAGTTCCGCCTCTCTTTGAAGGGAGCCGGATCCGTGGATCAGCACTTGAGAGCCGTGTTTGCCCGGTCGAAAGACTCCTGCGGGGGCGGTCAGCTGCTCGACGAGGTAGTGAAAGCAAGTCGGACGTTTCTCAAAAGCCTGGGATCCCTCGGACGAAGAGAGCGGGGACCCTGGTGTAGCCACAACTTCGATCTTGTGTGGTGGGAGGCCCAGAATCTCACAGGGTCCTTGTTCCGACCGTGGCCATATCACATTCCGCGCCTTTGCTGAACTAAGAGGCTCTTTGAGCTTCATGCGAGAAGTTCTCGTTGCCGTGCTTCTGGTACAGTAGTTTAAAGATATACTGAACATGCAAGAAAAGGATGCAGTGATTGCGACTCAGGTTCAAGAGGGCCCTCAAGCAGTCGATAGCTGCCATGAATTCTTGCGGGCTCCAGGGCAGGTTCGTCCCTTCCGAGGGCACCCTGATCTCCTTGCTCAGATACGGGAAGCTGGCTTTTGATCTTGGCGGGGTCGTTGACCACGTGGACAAGGACATTGACATGAAGATCTTCGTCCGGTCGCAGGCCGAGTTCCTCCTGAAGCTCGACTGCATCGTGTCTTACCTCCAGCGCTGCAGTGGGAAAGGATGGAGCTGGGCATGCTCCCCTCCGAACTATGGCACGACGCTTCCTGAAGACAATGGTGAGCCTTGGTTTTTTTCGTGTGTCCTTGCAAGGAGGGATGGTGGTCTGGAGACTTTTGGAAGCAGCGTGGATGTCGGTTTTGCGCGATTCTTCATAGCAGGAGATTCACTCAGGATGGCATTGAATTGCAGCAAAAACTCTTACTGCCAGAAGCTTCAGCAAGAGGCAGGTTCTGTAAAGGAGTTCTTGCTACCACTAGGCAAATGCAAGGCCTACGACACTGAGCTGCCTTGTCCAAAGTCGCCTGTGTCAATGATGCAACGCAGCAAGGAACACACCAATGAGTTTAAAGGTCATATAGCCTTGCCTGCCGTTGCTGTGGAACGGTGCTCGTTTCACTCGGGCACCGCTCGCCTTCTGCAACGTGGCCTCGAACTGCGCCAGATGCTGGCACTGCGCGAAGAAGCGCACAAACTCCACCACGGAGGCTGGGCATCTTTCTACGACTTCTGGTTCTATCCCGATGGGCAGATGAGGCCTTTGCCCACGGAGCGAATCTCTGCTGACATGCGCTCGGGGGGCAAAGGTCGCTTTACACGCTCCATCCCTGTGTCGGACCCGGTGCACACGTTTATGACCAGATTTCGGGGATTGGCCCAGGTGGGAGGGTACAGCTACCATACTTTGGGATCATAATAAGGATCCGACTAACATAGGGTAGGGTACTATATTAGGGTCCCCCAATGTCGGAAACTGCCAGGTGTTCGCATTTTCAGGACTGGTGCAACCCAAAGGACGGGATCAGGCATATGTCAACGGCGTGGCATATGCAAGTGGCCTAGCAGATGCTGGTGTATCGGTCGAGTGGATTCTTTACTACAGGCCGCTTGTAAGGCATGCAGCACAAGCCATACTGCAACTGACCAAATCGCCCCTTCATTTGGCTGCTTTGTGGGAGTTGAAGCCGATGGAGGTCTGCGCTGCATACTTTGTGGATACAGCCCTACGCTGTGATAGCACCGCTCGTCGACGGGACCACTCCTACGTGGAGAACTTATGCAAAGGCTGGGCAAAGCAAGAAGCCGACGTGCTTAGTAACAGCTCGGCAGCTCGCGACCGTTCCTTCCTGCAGCTCCTCTGGATTCTGGCAAAGGCATGCGACGGCTTGCCGCAAATCCGGGAGAGGGGCAGCCAGAACGACAGCCGCCTGAGCCCCTTCAACCACTGGCTCCAAACCTTCCGCACTTTCCAGAGTGAAATCGGGAATGATGACGTGACGCCTCACTTCTTTCCTGGTGCGACACCGCCGGAGGGCGTATCTGTACTGCTGTTCAACACAAGCAGCCTCGACTAATTTATTGTGCGCGGGTCATCGGTTTCGTGGCCACTTTGCCTGCAATACCCTCCCGTGGCGAATTGACCCCCCTCGCCACGGCTCACTGAAAGAGCGTCTCTTCAGCAAAGTTCAGCGATGAAGAATCGTCCCATGCCTTTCCTCGTGGCTGGTATCGAGTTTGCTCGGTTCAGTCTTGTATGCAGAGCATGTGGTCAGGACTGCACATGGTTCCAGCCGAGCGATTTTTGTTGAGTTCAGTGTAGTGCCATGCTCCCGGCGTCGCCTGAGTCCGGGGTTTCATTACGGCATCACTTAGCCCAGATCACTTCGTCTCGCATACCTGGTCGGGTAGTCCCTAGAGTCCGCTGGGAAGGTCGTCGTAGACGTGCTGAAACGGCCTAATCCCGGTTCGACCAACCCGTCATCGATGTCTGGAATCCGCACCCGAAGAATCTAGACAACTTGCACTTCATGCTTCATGCATCCTCATCCCAAAACCCTCCGAAACCAGTATACCGACGCGCACCGAGAACCTCGTCTGGCTTGTCCGCGTTGCGAGAGCGTAAACCCGCATAAGTGCACTGTTAATTAGGTTGTGTATGTTACTCTGGGCTGTCGTGATTGGCAACTGGAAACCCCCGTGTAGTTTAGTCTCGCTCAACAGACGTCGATTCGAACCATATGCCTCGCCTGGATTGTCCGAGTGTGAGCGCCGAAACCCTACGGGCCGTGTGTTTGCGATCTTGTCTGTCTGGCTCTTAGTAGCAAATATGGGGGAATAGATCCCTATAGTAGTCCCTACATAATCCCAATATTAGGTCCCCATAACCCATTACGGAATGGAGGAATGGATCCCTTTCGTAGTCCCTATATAATCCCCAACATTAGTCCCCATAACCGATTCCCCCACTTCCCTACTATTGTTTACGGTTTGACTCGGTCGATGACAGCTTCGGGAGGCTCAGCCAGAGCCGACGGAGGTGCTTGAGGACGCTGAGGCCGGACAGTTTGATATGGGAGTTTCCGAAAGTAAGGGTCCTGCTTTCTAATTAGGGTGCTATATTAGGGTCCCCTATTCTCGAAAAATTCCCATATTGAAGCCTGAATGCATTTCAGAATACTATCCCTTAGAACCTAGAGCTCGAAAGTGCGACGCGAAAAGTCTGTTCTAATTCTGAGCCCCTAAGTTCGGAGCCTTGAGATCGATCTTCCGAAAGCCTGAGTCATGGTCAGACCAAGCATTTGGTGAATCCCTTGCTTCACCGAACTCTGTGCGATGTTGGCGCTGACTCTAGTGGTTAGCGCCTGTGACGGCGATGATAGTAATAAACAGATCGTTGTGATCGTGATTATGACGGCCATGCTCAACACTGGTGTGATGATGAAGATGAGGATGATGATGACGATGATGCTGTTGTCCTGTTTCTTTCTCTGACCGGGTAGGCTACTGTAGCAATACCTACATCATCTTGCATCTGGGGACCGCCGCGCCAGGCCGAAACGAAGCAGCCATTCAAACCTGAGCAGGGCAACCAAATGCCCACAAATCTTCCGCCTTTCGCTGAAGGTTGCTGTGAATCGGACGCATCAATGTGACTCACACCACTATTGGGGAGCCCTTCTTTTTTGTCTGACTTGCTTGCACTCGACTCTACTCAACTCTATGTTCGCTGGCTCTTCTTTGGGAAGGAGGCGCCCAAGGTCACCCCGGACGCGCCCCTGGAGATCGATCCAGATGTTCTGTACAGAGCGCATCAAGTTTTCATGTGGCTGGGCCCAATTGAACTCATGTCGGCACGGCAGAAGCGTCGTCTAAAAGTGAAGAAGTAGAAGTAGAAGCAACGGGAGCAACAGCAGCAGGACTAGCTGCAATAGAAAGCGTTTGTTTTTGCATTCGTATTGGCGGTAGTCCTAGTACTTGTAGTGGCGGTGCCTGTTAAGGAGCAGTAGCAGGAGTGAGGAGTCGTAACCGTAGCAGTAGTAGTAGTAGTAGTAGTAGTAGTAGTAGTAGTAGTAGTAGTAGTAGTAGTAGTAGTAGTAGTGCAGCTGTAGTAGTACTAGTAGTAGTAGTAGCAGCAGCAGCAGCAGCAGTAGCAGTAGCAGCAGCAGTAGTTGTTCTTGCGGTCGTGCTGGTAGCAAACCTGGTAGTGACAGTCGTGGTGGTGGTCGTGGTCGTGGTTGTCGTGCTCCTGGTGGTCATAGTGGCAGTGTGCTCTAGTGGTGACGGCAGTCGCAGTCCCAGACGCAGTCGTCGACGACGGCGACTACTACTGCTACTCCTTGCTACTACTACCACTACAACTACAACTCCGACTACTACCTACTAACTTCCACTACCACGATTGCGACCACGAGGAGGACTGCTGCTGCTACCGCTACTACTGCGACAACTGCTACTCTGCTGTGACTGTTATGCTACCACGACGACTCCGACCGGTTACGACTAAGACTACGACTACTGCCCCCTCCACCACCAGCGCTAGAATAGCAACGGGTCCGTCAAAATCTACTCTGCATACCACAGCCGTCATCACCAACGCCAAGGATCCTGACCTCATCGGGAGTCGTCGCTCCTGCTGGTACGCCGGAGCAAGGCCTGGCGGCATTTTGAGCACTGAGGTTTCACATCCGGGGACTTAGGGTCTTGAGATGTTGGCTTTGAGGATTGAAGGCCAGGAACTGCGGAACATCGGATTGTTCGGTCTCCGGGGTCCTTCGCCCTTGGCTGCAGGAAAGATTTTGCGCGAGGAGGCCATCGCAGCCGAGCTCTGAATGGGCAAATGGTGATTTACGGCTATAGAGGCTTATCCATATCAAGATATGAGCGCAGCCCTGAATCCCAAACTGGTCGTTCAAGCTCAAAACTCTCGCATCATCCCGAGGCCTCAGAGCATCTGCGGATTTTGAAGTGTCCGAAGGCCTATCTTCTGCGGGAGCGCAGGAATGGGTTGGAATTTTCGGCACCATCCACGCACAAGTAGAATGAATATGTACGTAGCATACTTGTCTTACAGGCCGGATGAAACCCTCTCTCGCCCCTCAAGTAAGGACGCTAACCCCCCCCAAAACCTATAAAACCTAAGACCCCCAAACCCCAAGCAATAAGCCAAACCCCACTTCCAAGCAATGCGAGAGGGAGAAAAAGGACCTTAAGCTCCAAGGTACCCTAAACCCCCGAAGTAAGGTACAGTTTGTGGCCCGGCACCGGCGCTTGGCCGAGCTCCGCGGCTTCACGGCAGCCTTGCCGAAGATCGTCTTCCACTGGACCCAGGCGGGCTTAGCTGTGGGTGCCTAAATCATTCCTGATACTATTTTGGGGTTCCTTATTCTAATTATAGCAAGGCCCCCGTATTCGCTGTGGGGTTTATAACGGGTTCCGGTCAGGATTCAAGGTTTGATTGGCGTTTTGGGGCTTGGGTTCCGGTTTCACCGGGTGCAGTGCAAGAACACGGGACTGTGTCAACAGACGGGGTTCCTCAGAGAAGGTCACTCAACCTGAAACCGCATGTCCCCGGCCAGTATATGGGATTGCAAATCGGAATCGCTGTGATATCCCTCATAGTCCCTATAATTAAATGCACTTGAATTTTATTCCAATAAGAAAGGCCCTAATGTCACACAGGTTGCAGGTGTCGGGCTGGTTGATGCAATTTCTGCCTGCAGAGGGGGGGGGGGGGGCTTAAAACCCATGTGGGAGTTTCCGAAATTCGGGGTACCTTATTTTGGGGTCCTTATAATAAGAATCCTATTATTTAGGGTGCTATATTAGGGTCCCCTATTTTCGGAAACTCCGATGTGCAGAGGAGGTACCAGTGTAGAAGGGTTACAGGGGCATACACCTGCACAGGAGAGGAATTTCGCAAGCATCGCACGGGAAGGCTTGCGGGTCCCTGACGGAGCAGGCGAGATCGGAAGACCCGGGTTTCAGATTCATGACCAGCAAGCGCGGCGTACTCTGCACGCCGGTACCTAGCACTGCTTCCTTTCGCTGTCTGGTCGATAATTCGAACATTTCTGCATTAAATGTAAACGTGGGTCTCAAGGTCTTTGCTACCAATGTGTGTAAGCTTAATGCTGCTTGTTGCAAACGGCCACTCTGCCCTATTTGCTTTGGTTCGGAACCTCCTACCGAAGGAGTTGCCATCGCACATGGCAGTTCTTTTGGACACTTGGCTTTTCTTGGACGCGGTTTCGTTGTTTTGCTGTCACGACATGTTTGCCCTCTATAGCAGAGAGCTCAGATGAGTTCTGCCAGATCGCAGCAATCCAAGGAAATGGTATCTATGTACCTCAGCAGCATTGGTCAATTGTTGGGCGAATGCTCTATCATGCTATGGCCGCCTCTGCTATGGAGGATGTGTCTAGACGGTTGCTTGTACTGATACGCCTATCGGCCGGAGCTGATACACCAACTGATAGGCCTTCCGGGCTGAACTGATACACCTTCCGGCCTGAACTGATACACCTTCCGGCCTGAACTGATACACCTTTTCGTGTTCACTGATACGCCTTCCGCGCTGAACTGATACACCTTCCGGGCTGCACTGATACACCTTCCGGCCTGAACTGATACACCTTCCGGCCTGAACTGATACACCTTTTCGTGTTCACTGATACGCCTGCCGGGCGTGAGGCCTTAAGTAATTGTAACTAAAGCAGCTTATAAATCAACTCTATCAGAAACCGCAGTACAACCCCTAAAAATGCAAACCGAACGACCGTGTGCGGAAATTCGTGAAGTCGCGCGATGTGTTTTGTCTTCTTCAGGGCTTCAAGGGTTGAAGTCGAAGGGGTATTGGGCGGCCGAGCATTCCACCAAGCATTGAAAGCATTGAGGGCTCGCTTGACGTGCTGTGTTGTCCACGAGCAGCCGTTCAGCGCAGCCAACGACAGGCTCAATCCGAAACCAGGCCGGTCGATGACAGGCTCAATCAATCCATCAATCCTAAGTCCTAAGCCCCTAAGCTCATAAACTTCTAAAATTCTAAGATTCTAAATTCTAAACTTCTAAATTCTAAATTCGATTCTAAACCAAACTTAAACCATGCCCATGGATGACAGGCTGAATCCGAAACCAGGCCCCATTATAAAACAAACACGACCTCCTAGATCCCAAGGCCCGAAGATCCCGAGTCTAGCCCTCAGCCAGACACTCAGGTCTTTTGCACTCCAAAACAAAACATGTGTGTGAGACCGTAGTATGACAATATCAGCTTGCGGCCATGAGCTTTCTGGATATATTCGATGCTCCGCTGCCAAGCTTTCTCGACATCTTCGATGAGCCACAGGACTCTAGACACTCGAACCACTCTAGACTCTAGTCTTGAGTCCAGAGTCTAGAGTCTAGAAAGACTCTAGACTCCAGACTCGACTCTTGTCTAGTCACAAGTAAACTTGTAAACCTCAGATGCGTGCCTAGATTCCCTAGATCCTTAAGCTCTCAGCCCCCCTAAACAGTCCTAAACTAAAACTAGACCGAAAGTTAAACTTGGCTTAAACTTAAACTTAAGGCCTTAACCGCCTTAAACGTAAAACCCTAGACAACTCCGAAGCATGGACGATTTCCTTCCTTGAGGAGGACACCAACGAATCCATTCGAAATTCCGCGGAGGCCGGTGCTGACCTATCTGGGTTTTGTAAACTTGTTGTACATAAGTTGCAACCTCTATGTCTGACTGAATGACCTGGGTGCTCATTGAACATCATTGAACCTTTGCCTGATAGATAGACCCCTTTCGGCTCCCCAAGCTTTGAACCCTGGACCACCAACAACTCAAGACTCAACAGAACTCTCAAGCTCTAGGCCCCAAAACTCCTAACCTCCTAAAGTCCTAAACTAAACTTTGCCCTACCCTAAGGCCCTATAACCCCTAAGTTCTAAGATTCTAAGTCCTAAGCCCCAGCATCCCAACTGAAGCCCTGCGAGCAGAAACTCCAGACCCTAAACTCCAAAACCCCAAAACTCCTAAACGGTCCCAGACGCTAGACACCGAAACCTCAAGGAGTCCAGAGGACTTCAAGGAGAAGCCGCCTCGAGCTCGAGAGAAGCAGATCAGGCCGGCCAGGCCGGTCGAGTTCTTTTGAGTAAACTTGAGTAAACTTTCGAGTACTTTATAGAATTTTAGAGTCTTTAAAGCCCTAAACTCCCGAAGCGCCAAAACCTTAAACTGCCTGGGCCTGGGCCTAAGCCTGTCCTAAACGCTAGACACCGAAACCTCAAGGAGTCCAGAGGACTTCAAGGAGAAGCCGCCTCGAGCTCGAGAGAAGCAGATCAGGCCGGCCAGGCCGGTCGAGTTCTTTTGAGTAAACTTGAGTAAACTTTCGAGTACTTTATAGAATTTTAGAGTCTTTAAAGCCCTAAACTCCCGAAGCACCAAAACCTTAAACTGCCTGGGCCTGGGCCTAAGCCTGTCCTAAACGCTAGACACAGAAACCTCAAGGAGTCCAGAGGACTTCAAGGAGGAGTAGCCCCGAGCTCGAGAGAAGCAGATCAAGCCGGCCAGGCCGGTCGAGTTCTTTTGAGTGCTTTATTAACTTTTTTAATTAGAGTCAATTAGAGTCTTTAGAGACTTTAGAGTCTTTAGAGCTGAATTCAGCTAAATACCATTCAATACAATACAATTACAATTACAAATAATTACAATCAATGAATCAGTTCAATACAATTCAATACAATGTCAATACAATATTCAATATTCAATAACTAGTCAATAGTTCCAATCGGCAACGGCAGGAGGGTGCATTGGTTAGTCTGGAATCGTCTACGGCCGCCGCGGCTATGGATCCTGGAGCACTGCAACTCAACAGGATAAATGTCCTCCGGGAGCTGATGAACAGACAGCGACTGAAGCAGGTCAAGAAGCAGCAGCTGGCTGTCATAGGGGGAAAAGGACCTAGGCCACCGATGCAGCTGAAGAGTGCCGGGCAGCGTGGCTACAAGATGTTTTCTCGTGGTTCGAAGCCAGAACGTGGCGCTTGGTCAGCTCGTCTGCACTTGGCGAAGGCCAGAAAGCTGAAGTACAGCAACGAGGTGTGTCTCGGATGAATGCATGATATTATGTTTTGTAAGTTTTGTGGTTTTGGTTTGACAAGGGTTGTTTCCTAGTTATGGTTCAAAGTTCAAAGTTTATTAAATTATTAACTTATTAAGACTTATCAGATCATAATTTCAAGCAAGTAAACTTGCCAACTGGTAGATAAGCGTAGTAATGTAGTAACGTAGTAAGTGCAGTAGTTACGAACAGTATTGAAGTAACGGACTAAGTCAATAGGTACTAAGTCTAAGTAAATACTTTTTTTAACTGTAAAATTAGATTCGCATCAAGGAATGTACTATCGTTGCTGCAGCAGCTTCAGCGACGAAGCAACCATGAAGGTGTGAACAAGATCAGGCTTTTTCGGCGTGGCCGTCTGTTCAACCGACATGGTGTGGCGAGCGTCAGTGTGCTCAAGCTTCGTGCAAGTGGCAACCGCTTCAGCAGCACTTACTCGATGGCAGCTTTCCTGAAAGCTGCCTTCGGTGAATGTCAGCAGCGGTTGAAGTCACTGCGCGGAAAGCGCCTGCGCGGTGTTACGGCGGCTGCGATTGCCATGCAAGCATCGCCAGCGACTGTAACGACGATGCGCTTCGTTGTGGCTGGTGCCTTTATGGCACGGCAGGCCCACATGCTGGCAAGAATCTACACGATGTGTCTCGCAAAGCCACCTCTGTTTGCGGGCACAAGGACCTGTTTCGACGAAACGAGCCAAGTGGTGGTTGCTGGCTCGCGTCAGACTGGTCAGGGCCAGGGTGAGAAAGCAGCTCACCAAATCATGGTCGTCAAGAAGACGCTGTGTCTGGTGTGGGCAGACCAAAATGGTCAGCTGGCTGTTTTCCAGGTGCCCCTTGAAGCTTGGCATTGGATTAGTGATAACAGAACTTTTCTGTGGGGTTCCGGGTTACAACCTTATGTAACTTGACTTTATTATATCTATAAAATTTAGGAAATACTTAGTCTTCTGCTCCTCCTCGGTGGATTGAACGGTTTGAGGCCGTTCACGGTTTCCGGGGCGAGGGGTTTAAGTCAGTTCAAGTTTAAAGTTTAAAGTTTAAAGTTTCAAGTTTCAAGTTGAGGTTAACGGTTATTGTTGGTAAAGTTAAAGTTGGTTGAAGAATTACTTTTGCGGCTTTGCGGTTTGCAGTTTCAGGGTCAAGAGTTGTTTTTTTGGGGGTGTATGTTTATGGTTTATGTACAGTAATGCTTAACAGTTGACTTAACAGAATAAAAACAATGATCAATAGAATCAATACAGTACCAATGTTAAAAGCTTAGAGTCTTAGAGTCTTAGAGAAAACCGCATCAGCTCGAGGTATGCCCGCCTCTGCTGCTGGTGTCTCCGTCAGCCGACCACATCTGGTGGGCTCTTCGCAACCACCCGTGCCTGCACAGCATCAGGTCCTTCGAGGAACTTATCCTGGCTACCGCGCAGCACCCGCTCCTGCTTTCGGAATGTGACAGCGCCACCGCAAATGTGCGTCTGCACCACCACCACATGCGTATGGTTGAAGATTCTGGCAAAAAAACGTTGGTGGAGAATATCTTCTGCGATTCCCACCAAACTGCGCTGGTGGAAACCGCAGCAGTGACTCACACTGATGAACGAATGATATCTTCGTTTTTCTCACTGACACACTTCCTGCAGGCATCCACACACTGGCCAAAACTGAAAACAGCGGTGCGGAAGTACATCGTGGACAACGCAGAGATAGTTGTTGTGCAGGATAAGGTTGCTGCACCGATGTACAACCAGGAGCTATGCTCCATGCTGGCCCACTCTCGCTTGAGCGGCGAGACCGAGGACAGTTCAGATCCTGGTATGGCCGACTTCCTTAGCATGTGGAATGGGCCTTTGCATGTGCAGGCTGGTGGACAGTGCAAGTTGCAGCACTACTGTTCGGGCTGCTGTTCCAGTGCCATCCAAGCAAAGGATAAATTGGCGAGCGCCTATATCCGCTTCGTGATGTCTCGGCTGCCAGAAACCCCTGCTCCTGGACACTTTGCGGATATTTGTCATGCTCAAAGTTTCAGCACTGTAAGTTTGTAAGTCGAGCCCTTCCTTACTTGTTTCTCTGGATTTATGGATTGATTTATGGCAAATTTATGGTTTCGAAGGCAAATGGACCAAGCTCTGGTCGTCGCTCGCCTTCGTCGTCTGTGGCATTGGGGCGGCTGGAATGCTGTATCATGTACTTCCGCTTTGGCTGGAACCACTGAGGGTGTTTCCATGCCTTGGCAATAGTAATTC